TCATTGTACAGAATAACGTTCTCCAATTACAGCGTAATTTATGCAGTTGGAAAACTCTTTGTTTTCTTTGATGCAGATCCTATCGCGAAAGGAAGAAGGACCCGTTCCTCTCGCTGCTTCTTAACCATTCACTTTTTCTTCGGAACCATCATTATTATTTTCATTTTTGTTCTGTGATCCCACATGGCGGGAATACCCTCCTAAGTATGAGTTGAGAGGGTGGGATATTCAATTATATGGACCGGTCATTCTGGAAAATAGCTTGGGGTGTTCCTGTCAACTCTTGGGCTAGAAATAGAATTAGGTGATAATTGCTTATTCTTTGAATGCCAAACTCAGTGCTACCGGAGGCCATCGGTACAGATAATTGCAACACTAGGTGATAAGGTGACTTTAATCCAGGTTGAGCGTCAAGTATCGAGAGTGCCATCTGCCCCACGCCTCATGCATCCACGTTAAAACCGGTGGATGGTAGAGGGCGAGTCCATCATGTGCATTCACAACAGGAAAAACTTGTCTGCTCGGAATTCGTGGGACCGGGAGAATCGAATCGAGTAAACTAAAATTTGACTGACCAGACTGACCAAAATAACCTGAGGACTCCTCGGGGAGCTCTCACGTCTGAACTGAGGAGGCAAAATATATCTGACTTTATTCACCAAGACAAAATTGTACAGGAAGGATAGCAATGGAGAGTAATGGAACGGCAGGTAATGTGCCAACGTTCCCACTTATTTCGTTCCAGAAGATTCTGTTTTTAGCCCCCTTCATAGGCGTCAGTGTGAGAAGGGGAAGTGTGAAAAAAGGAGTTCCCTTTTTAGGCAGCGCATGTCTTTTTTACACAGGAAGTCGATGAGCTGAAAGAACCCCGCTTCAAGAATTTATTTTCTCTTCAGTCACCACGTCAAGTTTAGAGTTAGATTTGACAAAATCTGAATAAGAATGAAAATTTGGTTCAAGATATGAGAAATTTGTTATCAAATTAAAGGAAAACTGACTTTTCTATTTAGCCTTCTATGTTATTCTGCCCTGAAGAAGTAAATTACTTCGAGGTAAGCTAAATTTTGTCATAGACCTCGCCTTATCGAGTTCCCCATGGAATTCAGGCAAATAGAACCTCTACAAATCGTTTTTGTCTTGTTACGTGAAGACGTATCCCGGCGTCTGCTATTCTCAGGTAGAAGTCGGATTAGGTAGAAATTGAGGACCAAGTGAAGTGGAATTGTCAGCCGTTTAGAGTTAGAAGATCTGACCATTGACTATTTCGGCAAAGCTGGATCAAGTGAATCAGTTCGTCACCGCATGGGGATTGTGGATGTTATGCTGCTTCTGAAATCTTTCTCTTTGCGCGTGGGCTGGTGGGAGTAGGAGTATCCCCGTGGGACGCTCCTTCCTTAGGCTTCTTTAGTCGATATTCAATTGGGCCCTGATCAGTAGCGCAACCAGCCCAAAGGGGTCCCGGGGGGGGGGGAATATTCTCATGACCTGCTTTTCAAATGTCTCTGAAAGCAAGAAGGATTTTAATAAATAATCGCAAGAGGTATATTATTCACAGCAAAAATCTATAGAGACGTGGAACACACGCCAATTCGCCCAGGACGTCATTTGGTTCACAAATGCAAAGGGTGTTCGATAATTCACTTTACCATTTGAAAGTAATGCTGCTTGCTATTTTGAGAAGTGGCTTGGCGATTGACATTGTACAACTAAGAAAATTTGAATGGAAATTGGAGGACCGGACTGGCTCGAATCCTGTCTTACAACTGCTTTCAGTAGTTTGGAAAATATTAGCTTTTGAAGTGCACCCTCTCCAAAAGGGTGTAACTAGTAGCTCAGTTCCATGCATACTACCTTTTATAAACTTGGATAAGTAGGCCCAGTCTGTGCCCATGAGAAAACGGTAACTGCATTTTTAATATATACAATAGAAACAACAACATTTTATTAAATAGGGAAAACAGAATTAAAAAATAAACGGTTAAGCACATTCGATATCTGAAAATAAAGAAAAGCTATAGAAAAACGAAATTAACTTCGGGACCCAACCCGGGTTTCACTGTGCAGACATGCAACTGGAAATGCGATAACCGTTAGTGGTCGGCAACTGAATTTCACGGGGGGCTGGATGGGAGAATGCTGCACGTTCGCGGGTCGACACCTCTCAAGTATCATTAACATTTTCGTTTCAATGAACATCTAATGTCAAACGTGCAGCCGAGCCTCTACTGTCAGATTGTAATGGGCGATAGCCGGGCCTGCGAGGGCCATAAGGAGGATTTCCGCGGGCCGGATCTGGCCCTCGGGCCGCCTGTTGCTGACCGCTGCTGTATGCGATTCATGCCCTTCATCCGAGGAGTCGTCCTTCTTCCGTTTCCCCCAAAAATATTCAACAGCATCACATGTGTAGGTCGCTTCCGTGATATTTTCCCTTTACTCATGTGAGTAGCCACATGTGACTGGCGTGACCTTCTCATTCAGCCTCCCTGAACGAGAAAATGAAAGGGAGAAAATTTGAGAAAACAGCGCTGAACGTTTGAGATGTACATAGACTAGCTAGATATAGATTAGTTGGAGGGAGGATTAAGGTTTCAAGTTAGATGTGAAAGCTTAAGGGCGAAACGCATGGTCTGAATGCAAGCTAATGACATGAAATAAAGAAAAAATAACAATTCGCTTGCAGCAAGCAAGGACTATATCCAACGCTAAGCCAAGACCCTTTCCTAAGAACGGAAGAGGTTTTCCTTCGTTCCCCTAATCTCCTTGCGCTTAGTCTCTGGATCTAGTCATCATGCTCTCCGGATTTATATGGCCTGGGTGTATTCTTGACTTCTCAGTCCTCAATCATATGCTTTGGCGCTTTTGTCTTGAACGTTCGAGTTTCTCCTTTAGAAGTCGAATTTCACCAAGAATGTTTGCTCAAGTCATCAGTCTGGGCCTTGTCTCGTTTCTGTTGGCCGTATAGGACAGATTACTTGAGGTATCTGTAAGGTACCTTTACTGAAAATGGACGTTTCCGGAGAAGGTTCGCCTATTGAAGGAATAGGTCTGCGTTGCATTTAGGGTTACCAAATTGTTCACATGGGGCATGCGTGGTATCGCCCTTTGCTTAATTAAGTAGTAGGCCAAAACTTGCTGAGCCATTCTTACATTATCACCAGTAAATGTATGTCTCACAAGCTACTGTTCCGCTGAGTATCCATGTATGGCAAACCGCTGAATGTGTGTCAATCACACGGATTACGTGAAGTTTGGTAACTCTAGTTAACAGACCTGTTAATGTGAGGAATGGCATCTGACTACAGGTTCATGCATAGTCACGCAAAAAGCTCTCCCAACCAAAATCGATATTCAGAATTTCTTTGAATCAAAGTATTTTCCCAGATGCATGCTTCAACTTGACTGTAGTTGGTACCATTCGATCAACATATATTCCACTGAAGAATGCTCCTTTCTGGTGTTACCGAAGTGCTGACGCGGCGATTGTAAATCGCAAAAATGTTGCTGTGATTTTGCAGTAACTGCAAAGATGATGCAAGAGTACAAAGGTAATTACTTAATATCAAATTGCTTCCTTGATTGCAATAATTTTAGCCATTAGGAAGACCTTAGAAAATTTGAGTTCACTAAAGACTATAAGAAATACCCATAGACAGAAATCACTGAAATTTCTGCTTTTATTTATCCTCCTCTTCCTTTTTCTAAACAAAAACTGATTGGGAGAAGAATTTCAAAGGTATCCAATCAAAGAAAAGTAATTTATCAAAGATCCTGGTGTTGCAAAATTTGCCTGCTCTTTTAAAAAGTAACTAAAATTATTTATCCTTTGAGCTGCGAAACCGATTCTCTTGCTCACTTCTCTTAGTTAGCAGCAAAACAAGCGGAAGGAAGGAAGCGACCTTAGATGTGAAAACACGATTTAAAGACAGCACGTCCATTCGCCTTTCCTGCATAGTGCATAGAGTCAGACGGCGTCTGGTTCCGCCCGTGGCAAAGCACCTGACTGGTCTCATTGCCAACCCCCCACCAGGGATACTGAGTAGCCGAATATATAGACCGGTCCCCCATTCCTCCCTCCGTCCATGATGGCAAGGCGCAGGCCTTGGTGGGCCCCACTTTCGGAAGTTTTCTCTCAATGGCGCCGGCACGTCCGTTGCCCTGGCAACCGGAATCAATCTCGCCCACTCCTTTTCTGTCTCTCTAGTCCTTCTGTTCCATGCCAAACCTGGTTTTGTTTGCTTTGTCGCTTGCCCATTGTGTTATAGTGGCGGAACACCTCCCAGTCTAGTGTAAATCATGATTCATTCATACTGACGTATGAGTCATGACGTCATTCCACCTTATCTCGTGGAGTTTTCCTTGCCTGTAATCCAGTAATCGATTCACTCCTTCCAGCTGTGCTCTCTGTGCCGTAGGATCGTCTCTCCTGTTTCTCCTCTCCTTTGCAGATTCACTCCATTAGTATGTGTTCCTTCTTTTCTTTTTTTCACTTCTGGATCTGAGTCATGAATCTCGACCCTGGGAAAAGGATTCGATTCTTCACTCTCTTCCTTCTCCTCTCCAGCGTGGAGGTGATTCACGAATCCGCGAGCAAAATGTAAGGGTGTGCGAAATTTCTCGAAGGATTGGTTCTGTCCCGTGTGAAAACTGCTATCTCGATTATAGGCCTTTATATCACTAGCGCTTGGTTCTTGTCTATCCAGGTTGGAAGGAGGGTCAAAACTGTTGGTGCTAGGGGTGTTGCGTCGCCGTCCCCGCACATTTCTTAGGTGCCTGCCTGAAATATCCCTGGAATGTCAACCAGAATCATATTCGTCGCATCCAACGCCTTCTCCCTGCACAACCTTCCCCAGATACTTCCATTTCGGACAACGTGAGTCTCCGCTATACTGTATATATTTTTTTCAGTCCGAAACCAGGAACGCCTTGAGAGTTGAGAATGCAAAGGTGCATGTCTTGAATATTTAGAGAAAGGGATTCAAAGTTTCTCGCTAAATGGGAATATGGAGGTGCGAGGAAAATTCCACATTGTTTATTTTACCTCTATGGCTTCAACTGCAGGAATCCGGTAAACAGCAAGCCGAGTCTTTCTCAGAATGAATCGATTTCGTACTGCTATACGTTAGTTGAATTATTTAAATTATAAATTTTCTTTTACTTTCATGACTAGGAGCTGATAGATCGGCTGGAAGCTGGCAGCTGGCAGGAAAGGAAAAGGAGGGAGAGCATGGGACGAAGAAGAAGTTGAGATGGGCACCTCTAGCCCTGATCGCTTTCTTCGGGTATCTTGCCTACTTGTATCAAATCTCCCGAGTGCGAAGAGGAAAAACTGGCGATGAATATGTGGCCTCGGATTTTCAGGTGAGTGCTCCTTCCCTCGTATCACGCGCTGACAGAGGATTCTTCATTCATGAGCGTATCAGTGGTTATATAATGTATTGATACTTCCTGGTGGTTACGTTATTCTTTTAAATGTAAATACCAGGAATATAGTAATTCTTGAATTTTAAAGGATCACATGAGAAATAATTCTGGCCATTCTCAGAAAAACATTTTCATTCCGTTTTCCCTGCTCTCTTCAACCTTTTCATCATTTTTCATCCTGATGGTATTTTTCGTGCATGCTTAATATCCTTTCCCAAGGCAGATCTAGATTTAATTTTTTTTTTCAGTTGTCAGGGTGTAACGGGTATGTCTGTTTATTTGCCCTTTTCCCTTGAAAATGCATTTCCTCGCACGTCATCTGTGAAGCTATCAGATTCTCATGTGCATATTCTTGTATAACTAGGTGGAATGCTTTCGTCGCTTGCCATGGAACGCCCTGTCTCGCCTTTGGGGTCGGCTCCACAATGCCGAACTGCCTTCTGGCATCAAGACCCTTATTCTCAAGTTCTACGTCTCTTTCTATCGGTGCAACATGGATGAGGCGGAAGTAGAAGAACTACAGTATTACAAGAACCTTGCTGCTTTGTTCAAGCGATCTCTTAAGCCCGGGGCACGCCCCATTGACACTGCAGAATGCCTTGTGAGTCACAACGCAAATTTCATTTCGGGTGGATTGATTTTCATTACAATGTTATAGATTTTAACGTTTTATGTATCTCGTATTGTTATGCCAGTAATAGTCTGTCTCAGTGCTTCCCATTTCATGAGGGTATAGCTTGGGCCATAGGCCATATCATTTTTTTTTCTCTCAATGGGGTTTGTCGGGAGCCCCGTAACATCCGAAGGTTCTTTTATTCTCAACCAGGACAAGGACTCTCAGGAAGCGTTTTCTTTCCTTATCCTAATTTTTGTCTGATTTCCTGTCATTGATCCTCACGGTCTGCCCACTCTGTCACTCATGCAGAAAATTTAAATTCTCTATGTCTGAATTCTTCCAGGTGGCTCCATCAGATGGTCGGGTGCTCTCATTTGGCCAAGTGGATGGAGAAAAGGTACAACAAGTGAAGCACATCACATACTCTTTGAGACGGTTCCTGGGCGAAAATGCCCAGGAGGTCATTGCCTGTGATTCAAGGAAACCGGGTGAAACAACAAGCTGCTACAGCAAAGCCTGCCTCGCTGACCCCATAAACAATGTATTGTATCAGTGTGTGATCTACTTGGCTCCTGGGGACTATCATCGCTTTCATTCCCCTGTCAGTTGGGATGTCTACGCTAGGAGACACTTCCCAGGTGAGAATGTACTGTTCATTCTGCTTGGGTTGTTCTGACACCTTCCTTGAGTTTGTGTGCGTCATCTTTTCGCCTCCGATACTGGTTCTATTATATAATACTAATGATTTAGCTCTACCAGTATGCGCTGCATATTACCTTCCATCCCACGTCTTCATGCATCATCATGCTTGTTGGATTTAGACTGACCCTCTTATGAATATGACATATACAGTATTTAATGAATGAGCTATTTATTTGCTTATCTACATCTGCAGCCCTGCTGTTTCCTCTGGTTTCTGGGTTTGGAATCAATGTACTTCCTGGCAGAGTTTTACAGAGTTCTTTGTGAATCTTCACAACTCACAGTTCATGTGGAGAGGTGCAAAAAAGCACAAGGGTGGTAGGATAGATTGGATGAGATGTTGAGCAGTTGCTTATATGTAGTTGCAGTTGGTTGACATAGATACAACTGGGTTCTATAGCCAAATGGTTTGGGCTTTTGAATCAAACCTGGGAGATGAGGCATGAAGTCTGAGTGACAGTGGGTTCTTTCTTAGCTGAAAAGTGACCCACCTGCTTTCTGTGAAGTATCTACCTTGTGCTGCAGTAGCACAGATGAGATTAAGTGTGCCATGTCTAGGAAATTTAGGTGCAGTACATTTTTAAGGTCACTTGTGCCAATCATGAGCTTGTGAGCTACCTCCTAAGGGGCCATGCACACTGAATGCAAAGAGCTTCGTTACGACCACTGCGACCGTCGCAGCTCGTCGCAATCGATCGCATTGGAGATGCGTGGAACCTTCGCAGTCGGGGGGAATTGTATACATCCATGTTGGATTTCGCTTGGGAGTTCTGCGACCAGTGTGGAAGACGCTTCTCTGACGGTCGCAGTCAAGAAATGACTCCGAACTTCGCAGACGGTCGCAGTGCGGCTTTGCCGTAGCTTTTCGCAGTCAGTGTCCATCGGCCTTAAGACCTCTTAGAGGACTGTGCAGGGGCTTCCCAGCCTGCTGGACTGTTATGCTGTATTGGTTGTGTTGCATTTGCCAAGCAGGCACTCCTTTCCTCTTTGTGTAATTAATTTGTGCTATTTGAAAATTTTTGTTGCCTTGTTTGTTTTGCTGTATGTTTGGTCTTTAAAAGGAAAGTGAAAGGTTGACATCATCCAGACTCATGGCAGGGGATCAGGGAAAAAATGCATTTAGGAGATAAGTAGCAGGGGCTCCTCATCTTAATGCTTTCCCCATTCATTCCCAAGTCCTCTGTGGCTTTGGTCTAAATTGAACAATCTAGTAGTTCAAGTCTCCTTTCCTCATTATTTCAACCACCTTCATACTAATTGTCATGATTTTCATGCATATGCATAAATCAGAGGATATAGAACTCATGTGCAATCTCAGATCACCATAAGAAACAGTTGCACTTAACAATAAGTGCTTTAATCATTCATTCACAGTAGGTAAGGGGTTCTTTGTTATGTATGAAATTAACTTTCATGTGCATTCCATTACTTTTTAGTCATTCAATTTGTCTCTGGTAGGCTGTATGAACTCCCCTGATGAGTTTTACATTCTATGGCAAGTAGAAATTAAAAAAGGATTCACAGTTTGCAGGAAATAATGATTTTCACAGTGAATGGGTGTTACATTCGCCTATGCTATGCTGATGGTCATTACATGTATGGTGAATTTTGTTGAAAGGCATGAGAGAGACAGCAAAAGAACATCAAGGGATGGGATGTCCAGAAGTTGAATCCAGGTCTCATCATTTCCTGTCAGTTGTACTGCCTCAGTACCACAAAATCCCAAGAAATTCAGTCCCTGCTCTTCATGCTATCCTTATTCATGTGCTTATTACCATTATCATAACATATGCTCTGTTTTACCTGACCTTTAATTCCTGATTCTAATATTAACCTTGAATTCATATGCACAGACTACTGGATAATCAAAGTTTCTGTGAATGTTTCTTATTTTCTGACTATTCAGACCTGACTAAAGTTGAGAGCCACAAAACTTAGTCCATATAAATTGCATTGAATTTTGAGATTTTTCCTTGACAAGCCCAATAAGCCCTAATATGTGGAATATTTTGATCAAGTATGACCTCCTACAGTTTTTCTGTTTAAAGATTAGATTCTGGGTATTTTAACTGCATTCATGACATCAGATCTGAATTGAATCTGCTTTGCTTTTTCATTGGCATTGTCCAATTTGGAATTGACTTTTGAAGATCCATATATATATGTGGGTGTGATTGTCAATGAGTACCATTATTGCCCTTTTATATTTGTGGCCTTGTATTTGTGGTCTACTCCAATTTTTGGGACCCTTTCGGAAAAATTCTTAGAAGGATTTGTTTGCTGCTGCAGGCAAAAAGGTGCTCGCATTCATCGTTGCAATTGTTGTTTGCCTTTCCAAATACTGTAGAATAACCTTATGCTTGAAGGCAACAGCTAAGTTGTAGTGACGTTTTCAATGTCATGATTGGAGTATCCTTGTCAAAAAGCTTGGATCAAATGTCATACACCAATTCCTGAGTCCCAAACATATTTGGTGAAGAAAGAAAAGTTTACCTATATGCATGCAATGAAGAAATTCTCCATGCAAGCTACTTCATGGGAATATTGAACAATACTTCCTAGTATTTATGAACTCAGTTGTGAAATTTCCCTTTCTCATGTGCCTGTTTCAGGTGATCTGCTCAGTGTGAATCCTCGCCTTGCTGCATTGATCCCAGAACTCTTTACACTCAATGAAAGGGTTGTGTATTTTGGGAAGTGGAAACATGGCTTCTTCTCAATGGCTGCTATTGGTGCCACGAATGTTGGCTCCATTCGATGCAATTTCGATGCTGTAAGCATAACTTTTTAAATATTCTGAATGAATTTTTAATCAGTCGTATGCTAAGTGACTATAAATGATGGGTTTTTGTGTGTTGCAGGACCTGATGACAAATGTGAAACGCTATGTGCCAAATTCAGTTCATGAGCTGCATTTCCCTGAGCCTGTTCACTTTGAAAAGGGTGACGATTTTGGAGAATTCAACTTTGGTTCCACCATCGTGTTGATCTTCGAGGCACCCAAAGGCCTCAAGTTTGCCATCCAGCAAGAGCAACGCGTGTTCATGGGCCAGGCCCTCAGCGAATGTCTCCAAGATTCATGATTCGAGTTATGCAAGTGCTAATATATCCTGGGGCTCCGTTGATTATGATGATTCTGTTAGTTTAACCAAAAATGCTATTGTGATGCTCTTTCGACATTTTGACCTTGTCCCCCACCCCCTACATTGACTATGTTTTTTTTCCCACTTCAAGGGATTTGTGCAATAAATAATCTATTTTAAAGGTCTGTCATTCTCTTCTGAATCAGGTGTTCATACTTTTCTCAATTGAGAAAGCGAGAGACAACCGAAGTCGTATGTGCGCAGCCGATGCCATTATCAATGTGAGCTGATGCAAGCTAGTAACCACTTGTGCCGAATCCTGACTCCAACAGTCTGTAAAGTTTGCAGCTGGCGATTCCAGCAGGGTGTAAGGCACCGTGCACAATATGTGGAAAATAGTGAATTCGAATCGACTTGGTGCGTTCCCGGTTATTCACGAATGGAGTTCATAACGGTACTTCGGAATGGGTTCCTAGTTTTCTGGAATGATTCAACGCGACTTAAAATCAAAAAGACCGTAGTTGGGCACGAAATCATTTCGAAATCTAAACTCAATCCGAAAAAGTAAGAAGTGAGGAAACGTAAGACGTCAATTCAAATTCACCATGGTATTTAAAATGCACCTCTGAGTCCAAAAAGAAAGCTGGAATCTGAAAGCTGATGATCGCAAGTGGAATTCTGCAGGCACTCGACCGCTGCGATTCGCTGCGATTCGCCGCGATCCGCCTGCGAAGTTCACTTCAGCCGAAACTCCGACGCCCCCCCTGCGACCATCGCCGCGGTCGCGACGCAGCCCTTTGGCAGTGCCCATTGGCCTTCAGCTGCGTGCGTTTGGATCGTGTCGACCCTGCTTATGTATCAAACAGGACATTTTATTGGCACAGAGGATCTTCAAAAAATATATATTATTCAGACGTTTCCCTGACAGGTCATTTCCTTGATTACTTAAAGGTCATCATGAATGAATTCCTGAAGTCATGTTATGTCTATGGACCATTCCCCTCGAGCATTCCGACGCGACGACGGTCGTCCTAGCTTGCGAAAGCCTGCATCATTCGAATTTCCCCTTGACCATCCTTTTGTTGCTTTGTTGCTGTTGTTGCCCCGACCTTTGCAAGTCCTCGTCTCGCAGCATCAGCAACACTCATTGTATCGAGTTTTTGCATCCGACTTTCGTCCCGAACGCTTGCCGTGACCACTGAGACCGACCCGGACCGACCCGGGACCGATCCGGACCGACCTTTTCCACTTGAAAAACCCGATTCCCTCAACACGGGAATTCCCCTGTACCGATAAGCAAATAAAACGGCGAAATGCCCGTTTCCTACTTTATCGGTCAAGTGGCATGTCATCTTATTGCCGACCGAGTGTCGACCTCGTCGATCGATAATTCATGATTGCTTCATGTTCCATCAGGATCACGACATCTGAGTTTTTCGTCCCGAATGGAAACGAAATCGCCCAAGGAAAAAGGAGACGAGGAAAACGAAGCAAAATAATTAAACCCCCCCCCCCCCAATAAAAAAAAAGGTGAAAGAAGATAAAAGAAACTGGATTTTTTTTGGAGTTGAAAAAAAGTTGCTCGCGCAGAGGAATGAAAATCGGATCCGGCCGACTAAGTTGTTGACATGGGCCCTTCGCGAAGTCCTTTCTCCATGACTTCGCATCCGGCAAGTGACCTTCATCTCGCCCTTCGTTCCTCGTCCCGACCTTTGTCGACTCGTGGGAAA